AGTTCTATATACACTGGGAATGTGGAAATTGACCCTTAGAAACCATTGTTTTTGTGTTACCTGCTAAAAAGGACACGGCTGCTGAAGCCTTCATGACTTGCTTCTACAGCACCATTCTTGGAGCATATGAATCTTCTCCAAAGGAATGGCCATGTTAGTCTGTTGAGAGGAGTCCTGTCTTTGTTATCAATCCTCTAGCCAGGTGCTGAGTGTTGCTATCACATTTTGTGACTGTACAATACATCTTGAAATACATAGCTCCAAAATTGGCTTCGCTACAGCCAGAGAGCAAAGCAGCAACTATAATACTTTAGATGACATGTGAAGTGGCCCACCAAGACATATGGGTATTTGAAATTTGAATCCATGCCCAGATATGACACTGATTTTCCATCGACCTATCGTGGTTATTGTCTTTGTGAAGTTGTGATTGGATCGGCAAAGAAGTGGAGCCCAAGTGAGTGTTCTTATCGGTTGTCCTTTTGGTGACACTTTTACTATCTGACTGAGCTCTGGACTTTGTAAACTGTCATTAGGTCTTTGTTGCAGACAGCAAAGGTTTTGGATTTCTTGGAATTAGAGGTGGTGAGGGACAGCAGAACTGTAAACCTAAATGTAGAGCTTGGAAATAATCAAGGCATAGCTAAGTTACATTAGAGTTGCAATGCAATGAGGAATAAGAGAACTTCACTCCTTTTGCGGTGTAACTCTGTTTAAGTTGCTTCTACAGTTGCAGTGTGTGTAGGTCACCACACAGATGTACTTTGTACCACAGACCTATTATACTTACAGCATTTTGACTTTTAAAAAATTGACTAAAAAGGCAACTGTCTTAGCTGCTTTAATAATTAACTGTAAGCAGCTATTTATGAGATGGTTGGAACTAAGAAACTGAAAGAAACTTCCAAGATCTGCCCAAATATCTTTCTTGATTATTATATTCGTATATGAAAATCACCCCTAAATATGCATGTTCTCTTATAAAATTAACATATTGACAGTGCAACTTCTTTTGATTTATTTCATCTTGTGTATCTCAAAAGGTAGTGTAAAAATATTTTTACTTAAAAGCCTGAACAGATAGCCAGTGTGGTACAGTGACTTGAGTGTTGGACTGCTACTTTGGAGACCAGATTTGAATCCCTGCTCAGCCATGGAAATCCTCTGATGACATTGGGCAAGTCACATGCTCTCAACCTCAGAGGAAAGCAAAGACGAATCCCCTCTGAATAGATCTCACCAAGAAAACCCCATGACAGTTTTGCCTTGGGGTCTACATAAGTTGGAAACAACTTTAATCTTTTTTTTTTCACAAGCACACACCATCTTAATAAAAGTAGAGCAGAGGGTATACAGGGATATATTGGTTGAGCTCTGAGTATATCTGCAAAAGATTTTTGACCCCCAATTCTTTTTTGAAAAAACAGGGACAAAAAAGATCCCCGTTTTAATTTAGGCAGGTGAAATGAAGAAAGCTTGAGGTGGGGTGCAGACCAGAAGTAGACTTTTGTATAGAAGAACAGCTAGGACAGATACTAAAAATATATAAATTCTAACCATGGGCTCAGAGTTCCTTAATGCTGGTGTGATCTGCCTCCCCAAGTCAGTACTTTGCACCTGGCTCCAATTCTGGTGACGCCTGAGATTCTAGGGAAAAAAGTAAAGCCAATCCCAGAAGTCTGAAGGCCCCTCACCCTCATGGAGATTACATATGTTAAGTCAATTATTAAGTCACTTGTGTAAATACTAGGGGATACTCATGATTAAGCTGTTGAACTGACCAACACCAGTGATCCTTTATCAATTTTAAAATCTAAAGCAAATCTTTGCCTTAAAATAAAAACTGCCTGTGTTTATAGATAGGTGCTAGCCAGCTCAGATTTTTAGGTAAAAGAGGGGGAAGGTATTGTTCATATCCACAAGCCTTCAGGGACAACATAGCTAATAACAGTTCTTAACGCTATAGGGTTGCAGACTGCCAGAAATAGTGCAAATTGAGTCCACTTTTAGGGTTAGGGTTAGGGTTAGGGAATCATGGGAACTCTAGTTTATTGTGGCACCAGAGCTCTCTGACAGAGAAAGCTCAATGTTTCAGAA